CAACTCATTCACAATCGGGACAAAAAGAGAGGGGCGGAGCTTCCAGGTGACTTGACCACAGGTGTGTCATCAGGTTTATTTGAGTTCACAGATGACAACAAATTAAAAGAAACAAACTTCAAACCGAAACATTATTTACATCATCATGTGACATCCGAAGCTCCACCTCTTCTTCCCAAAAACAACCAATCACAGCATTGCTTCAGCTACAATAATAACTGAACAGCAGGTGATGAAGATGGTCTCCTCACAGGACACTAAAACACAGAGACAGTTTGCACACAGGAGGACTTTGGTGGTTTCCTGTCCTTGGAGGAAGATAGAAACAGAAACTCAGAGTAAGCTTTAAACTGGAGGAGCGTTCCTGCTGCCGCGCTTCACGGTCGGGCTACAGCTTGCGGTCGTAGACGGAGTGATGCATTTCCCGTCTTCATGTGTAGGTGTCCCCGTACCTGCGGTGGCCATCGCCAATCAGCTGAGTTTTCTCGCTTGCATTCGTCGGCTGGTGGACTATCGGAGCCTCGACGTCTGCAGAAAAGACAGAAAGTCAACAAAAGTCAGTGAAGGTTCTCGGTCACGCAGGTTGTGGTGGTCTAAAGAGCTCGCACAGACTCGCACTTCTTTGTTCACGTTTCATCTGGGAAGCTTCTTCAGCTCTAAGAGCCATCAGTGGAGAGTGGTGGGTATTTAAGCCCTATGGGAGGGTCCTAGACCACCTGTTGATCCTTTGCCTAATCACACGAGCCCAGGTGTGTGTCCACAAACACGAACCTGCTCTCATTATATTTGTAGTTATACTTCCTTCTATTTATGACTGACTGCACCTTCAAACATCAAAATAAAAGCTAAACACTTCCTGTCACCCCACCGTTTTCGGGTTCATTGCGGATCTCCTCCTCCAGGTCGTCAGGGGAGGCGTAGTCTGGCTCCGCCCCCTCTCCTGTGGGTGGCGGCTTGAGTTTGCCGCAGCAGCAGTTGCAGCAGCAGCAGAGACAGCAGCAGCAGTAAAAGCCGGTGATGATCCCACAGAGCACGAACAGACCCTGAACACAAACACGCCGTCAGCTCACGCCTCCTCACACCACCTCTATTCACACAGCCAGAGTGGAAGCTCCGCCCCACCTTGGCCCACCAGGTGGACAGCATGAAGTATGTGTTGACGTTGTCCTCTCCAAACTGCTGGGCCACGTAGAGTCCCAGCGAGCCATACGAATCGTAGATGTTCCTCTTGGTGAGGTCACTCAGGACGGCGTGGGCGCTGTTCAGCTCCTTGAACTTCTCCGCCGCCTCCGGGTTGTCCGGGTTCTTATCGGGGTGGTACCGCAGCGCCAGCTTCCTGACATCACACGCAGGTGTTAGTATTCACGTGCTGAGGTCAGAGAGTCTAGCTCTGCCCTCTGATTTCATCAGCAGCGCCATTAGTGCGCAAGCTGAACGACACACTCGCATCTTAAATCGTGTCATCAAACGTGCAGGTGAGTGGGCGGAGCTGGTGTAGGCTCACCTGTATGACTTCTTAATGTCGTCATGGCTGCAGCCTTTCTCCAGCCCCACGATGTGATACAGAGACTCTCCAGAGGTGGACAGAGCGCGCTGCCTGCCGTCAGACATCCTAAAACCATCACCTGTCACAGGTGAAAAAACCACAGTGTCACACACGCGGTCACAGGGAAAGATAAATGCCAGTGAACACGCTCCGTAGGGCAAAGGTCAGTGAAAACCTTTCAAATATTTTAGTGACAGCAGTGAAAGTTTATTAGTTCATGGATCAGAAGAGAAAACGTGAGGAGTCAGATCATTTAAACGTTTCCTGCGGGGTCAAAGGTCAATGTTTCCTGCTAGTTGTTCCTGTGGTTTTTTATTAAGCAGAAAAAAAGTGTCTGACTTTTAACTGAAGAAGAAGAAAGTAAACAAATAAATAACATAAACGTGTCGTTACTGCCGCACTAAAAAACTCCAGAAACACACAAAACGATATCGGCTGTGTACCGAACATGGAGTCGAATGAGATGAAATGACGAAATGAAACCAAACGCAGATGCAGCGCTATAAAAATCAGAAACAGAAAAATGTAATTTAAAAATAAAATGTTCGCCCAAAAAGAAACAGTAAAAATTCTACAGAAAGAAGAAAAGTGGTCACTTTATTAGTTCAGTGCACAAACTCCAGCTACAATAGAAATGTGTCTCCTCAGTCACATGCTCGGTCAGGCCTCTTCCGGGGCGCGGGGGGCCCTCGGGCCTCCGGCCTCTG